GCTTCAGGGTTGGTACATTGTGACATATGCCTTGGGAATCTACCACCTAAATCTTTTCATAGCCTTCTTGTCGCCAAAGGTAGACCCCTCTTTAATGGAAGATTCAGGTATGATGAATGGCTCGTTTGTCATCATTTTGAACTCGGTCAAACTTCCAGCTCTGTCTGATACAGTGGTGTAAAGATGTGTGATGTTAGCGTGACGTCGTATTTGTGACTCGTAAAATCTACAACTTGACATCAGGAGTTGCTATCAAATTGTCTCTCTGTTTTCAGGACTTGAAGGTATTCCACATTGTATGTTTTCTGTGTTTTGAAGGAAAGTTTGTGTGACTTAGGTGCTCCCCAAAATAACTCCAATGAGTCATTTCTGTTAGGGATTTCCCAAAAGGAAGTAAATGCAAAGTTACATTAAAACAGCCACTGTAACTGGAGTCTGTGTAATGGTGACAGTTTGGTTTTTTTTAAAGATATAAGTAAAAGAATTCGGAGTCTGAATAGTGTGGAAAATGAGTGTGAGGAGGAGGTTTGTGGGTTTTGATGTTTTTTTTCAGATGATGGTCCTTCCTTACCTACAAGGCAAAATGAAGAATTTCGGCCTTTCATTAGAAGGCTCCCAGAGTTCAAATTCTGGTGAGTGAATCCATCTGCCCATGCTCTGGTTTTGAGGAATATAAATATCTGCAGAAATTAATGGTAGCTGGGGTCAAAGGATTAATTGTTAATATTATTTTTAAGGCACTCTGCCACTAAAGGAATCCTGGTCGCTATGGCATGCACGTTCTTCGAAGCATTCAACGTTCCTGTTTTTTGGCCAATCCTTGTGATGTACTTCATTATGCTATTTTGTATCACTATGAAGAGGCAAATCAAGGTAACTTTCCAGGGGTAGATAGTAGCGTTTATGATGGCAGAATTTACAGTTCTATCCAAACCGTCCATCTGGTGAAGCGCTTGAGGTACTACATATTGCCTACACTTCTCTGCTGCAGGAATGTGAACAACTAACACTTAATTGTGGGTTCAATTGTTGCCTGTTTGCAACTCTGAGCAAATATTGACAATGGGAAACAAAAACCCTTGGTAAAAGAGGTCTTCAAACACTGTGCTACAAAATGTAATGCTTGCTTTGAAAAAGTTTCGATCTTGTAAAAACCAGATATTGAATTCTACAGGATGGGTCTTAGAATTTCTCATCCACCTCCTTTCTTCAGTTAACTACAGCTGATTCTGATGAAGAGGTCATGTAGGATCTCTAATGGGTGAGAAGGGAAGTTCTGCCAAGTCGATGTGAGAAAGTAGGTAGAGGGAAGGGGCAGAACATAGGCTAGTCACTCAGACCACTTTTAACAAATTACTTTGTTGACATTTTAAAAGGAGAAGCAATTTTTTTCCCCGACACTCAGCATTTTGGAGAGGTACTGTTATTCAAAGTAGTAAACTAAAGGGTAGTAAAGAATTAATACCTGTATGCGCTCCCCAGTTTGCTGGGATCCCCCAGCCAGTAACCTTCACTGCGCTGAGTTTTGGGGTATACCCAAACTGGAGATTTAGGTTGGGCTCGTACCCCTCTTTTGGTGGAAGCTGCTGTACGATTAGCTGTTTCATGAACTTGACAGTACCAAAGAACGGTCTTTCTAGAGGACTTTGTCATTTACAAGGTGTGTATAAAACATTTTTGTCACTATTGGATAGGTTTCTTGCCTCAAAACCTGATCTCTTCTCTTTACAGCACATGATAAAGTACAGATATATACCCTTCACACATGGCAAGAGGAAATACAAAGGGAAAGAAGATGTGGGAAAGACCTTTGCTAGCTAGAAGATGCAATCAACCTGTTGACCAATTCAGCTTCTAACGAAAGGAACGATTTTGAGCCATTGTAACAATGCCTTTTTTCTTCATAAAAAATGATTAACAGAGTGGTGACAAAGCAGTTGAATTTTCATTTTAAGAGGATCTTGCTATTTTTATCCAAAATATCAGTTTCTTGAAGGAACTGGCATTCTAACCACATCGCATTGAGTTGATTGTCTTTTATGAGAAGTTGGAGAAATTTTGGATAGTCCCATGGATTTGGGATAATGTATTTCCTTCAAGATCCATTGCCCTGGAGAGGTTAACGGCTTAGAGCTGGCTATCTTTCCATGGTTCTCCTGCTTAGTATCGCCCTGAGGTGCCGTGCATGTATGTGGAGGAGGAGCGTAAGCTGGCACACGTGATGCTGTTTTCTGCTTCATGGCTGTGTGCCACCTGCGTGGAAAAACACCGTAGACCTAAGTAGCTGCAGAACTTCAGCCAGTTTCCTAAACGTGTGGTGTTACTGAGTTATAACCAAACAAAACCAGATAGGAGTAAGAAATCTACTAAATTATGGGGCTTATGGTAAAAAATGCTCACATAGCTTCTGAAGTTACTCATTTGTGTTGGGTTGTAATGCCAGTTTCACCGTTACGTCTCCTAGCGGATGCTAAAATGGGGCTCTCCCGTGATGACCCAGAACTTGGTTCAAACTCTATCACAATTTCCTTTGAGGACCTGGAATTATAAATATATATATTTTAATTGTTAGTAGTTGGAGTTTCTTTCATACTTAAGGGTTTCTTGATTAATTTAAGCTGACTTCGTGCATCCCCTTCAGAATATACCCAATCTGGCCACAGCAGAAAACGATGGGGGTTTTAACACAGTTCTTCATTTTCTATGGGGAAAAAAAGAGATAAATGACCTGCATGTAAACTTTTTTCATGTGATACAACTGCAGTTTTATTAAGTGACTTTTTAATTCCAAAATTTATTAAAAGACAGTGTCCCCCTTTACTTGTTCTCTATCTTTATATACATACATTGACCTAACTGTATTTACAGCTCCTTTTCAATACTGGTTACCCTCAGTTTATCCTCATGCAACGCCTTTTTTGACTCTTCAGGGCGTGTTTGCTTGCAGAAAGCAGGCAAAGATTAGTTCTCTGAAGATTCTGAATGGAGAATAGTGGCAAATTCAACAGACACCTGATTGGAAAATGTATGTAGGAACGCGTTTGTGAGATTTCGTCAGACGAAGTCACAGAGCTCTGGAATTCAGCCTTCGGTAATCCTGGGAAGGCGATGGGTAGTTTGAGCTCACAGTGACCTGTTGTTTTCTGGTCGTTTGTGTGTCTTGGTTTTATTAGCAGTGTGGAAACTAAGAGTGTCAAAATTATGGGAACACAGTGTCCGGAAGGGGCCTTATAAAGTACCAGTGATGGATGCTTGCAGTTCACGGCCCAAAAATGTGACAGCTCCGACTTGGAGAAGCTGTCTGCAGGTTTGCTGGAGTTTCAGCAGAATGTGGGCAAGTCAGGAAGAAAAATACGGCTCACTACGTTAAAATTAGCAACTGGGGTGACTCCTCCTAAGCATCAGTGTTAACAACATCCATGGCAAATTAGGCATTTTTACCTCCACTTAATGTGGAACTGTAGTGGCAGCTGAGATTAATGCCCCTCTTTTGTGGGTAGGCGTAGATGCTCCACGGTCAGTGGGATTAACGGTTTCCAAGTGTGGACTGTGGGTGCCATTAGGACAATGGTGCAGCTCCCCAGCTGACTCTGAGTGTAACGGCCAGACAAGTGCGGCTTTTTGTTAAACTTTGCTCTGTTTTTATCACTTACAAGCGATAAAAGTAACTTGCCCTTATAGAACACGTAACAGCTTGGCTTGACGCCTTCACAGGTACGTCCCAGTCATTGGCTTCTGCTTGTTTCCATGTGCAACTAAATGTTTTTCCTTACTGTGTTCCAGGTAAGGTGAGCAGGCAGTGATTTCCTTAAGTTTTGATCCATCATACGGACCGTTTTTCTTCCCCTTGTTGCTTCCTTGACAGTTTAAATAGGTGAGGAATGCTTCAAAGTTTTCTGGTACAAGGGGTGGTAGTGCAGCTCTGAAAATCCCTTTTGTACTGTAATTGTGGTCACTTTTTTCCATTTATAGATAAAAGCTAAATTTTATTGGAATGCTTTCTAACACTTGGAGATTTAATTGTCCACAAGCTAACCAGGGTCTCCGCTGTACAAACAGCAACGTTAAAAGAAGTGCTCACACTGTAGCACGCCCCCCTCCCCAAATCTGCTGCTCCAAATACCTGTGTAACTGAACTAACAGTAACTTAAGGAATAAACCTTGCTGAGGTGATGCTGCCGAATCCCTCCTCCTTTATACCCTGAAGTACTGGCTCCGCTGAGAGGGGAGAAGGGGCTTGCGCTCGGTCAGCTCCTTCCCTGTCTGTTAGGCTGTAGAGAACACCAGACAAAACCTGTGTTACAAAACCCATGTTTTATAGGTGAGCTGAGAAGGTGTTTTTGAAACAGTGTTTGTTACACTGCTGTGGTCTAAATATCTAGAGTCCTTGATGTCTTTCCTAGTGACAGAAAAGCTCTGGGTTTGGAGGCTGAGTGTTAAGTGATCAGAGTGCAGAGTAATTTGCGTTACTGTGGGTCTGCAGTCGCTGCGTTTGTTGATCTGAAGGAGATTTGGAGTTTGTCACATCAAGGAAACCTGCTTTGTTGTTAACCGTGACAGGGAAAGGAGCGGTGGGTGACATCAGAACCTGAAGGGCAGTTACACTAAGGGGTTGTGGGCAGCTTTTGTCCTTTCCCCCTGCAGTCTGCAGCACGGATGTTACAGGAGAAAGGGTGTCCTACGGAATTAAGCATGTGGTGAAGGGTGTGCAAGACTGCTTAGCCACAGTTACATTTAGAGCATGAGAATCTGATGTCCGAAGAGAAGGGCACATTTGTGTTAAGCACTTCTTAGACACGCTCTGAACATGGTCAAGAACCGCGTTGGCAGGGTAGAGGCAAACATAGATTTAATCTGTGAAGGAGGAAAGAAGTGCCCCCTTGCGCAGCAGCTGCCAGTTTTACAGTGAAGTCTCCTTGGACTGAGTCGAGCGGTACGGCAACTTTTGTGAAGGGTGTGAGAGCTGAGGCCCTTCTCGCGCGACAGAAGGGATGCTGCCTTTACAGCTGGTAGTGCCGCAGGTAGATCAGTTTCTGAGGATGAAACTTCTCTCTGCACAGCGGGCATTCTGTCTACAAAAAAGAAAATAAATTAGACTTGCTGAATTACTGTATTTATAAGCTAAATCACAGTTTAGCTACTTCTAGACAACAATCAGCATCCACGATTCCACATTTCTTCTGTCCAATTTGTGATGCAAGTTCAGCAATGCAGAGCTCTCCGAACTAGCCTAATTCCAAGAGCAACTTGAGGTGACATGGGTGCTTAAAATAGGACCGTAAAACCGTGGTCACTGTATGCAGCACGTGCCCCCTTCACCTGGAGGGAACAACTTCATTTTAGGAGAAAGGGCCATCAGCTTTTCACCTTGGAGGCAGAAAGCCCGTCCAACAAAGCCACTCAAAAGATCACTGATGTTTTAACCCTTGAATATTGCTGCCTGATACAGGTACAGACTAATTTCCGAGGTAATTCGTGGTTGATTTTCCTCCTTCATACTAAAAACTATTCTCTTTACTCTTCCTGCAGCTGAACTAGAGCTAGCAGGCTGCTGGTCCCTTTAATGCCATTGTTACCCCAGATACCTGGCGCTGCATCGTGCAGGTTTCTGCTCGTGTGGTGCAGGCCGGTTTCAGTGCAGAGTTCATTCCCCTTAGGACTGCAGGCAGTTTTTCTGGTGCTTTGTCCCAAGTTTATGGTAAGCAGTTTCCCAAAAAGGACTGCGCCTTTACCTGCTCTTGATTCAGGAAATATTTGTTCAGGAAGTCACAACAAACCACATGGGTTCTTAACAATTCTTTTGGTGTTTGTCTGGGTTTTTTAACCTGGGTGGCAATACCATGACTTCCATTAATTTTGCCAACAGGTGGAATCAGGAAAAAACCACAGAGCTGTTACCAGGACACACTTACTCATGTACACCAGTAGTATGTAAAGATTCTGGGGTGTGTTACAAGATACTCAGTTCTCTAAATCAGAGCTGTTAGGGTTTTGTATCTCTGGTTGGTGAATCAGGAGCAGAGACAAAGGATGTACTAGGTCAGCACAATGCAAAAGAATAAACATTAGTAAAATGGGAACAACTGTTAAAACAAGCTTAAACCTCTATACCCAAAACAAAAAATCCTGTCCCCGGGCGCTGAACTGCTCTGCCAGTAGGAAGTCACCAAGTGTTCAGGGCAAAGAATAAGGTGAAGATACACTGAATGGATGTTTTCAGACCTGAAACACCACTGTGTCATGCACTTCTGAGGGTGTCTACCTACAGATACGTGCATCTGCAACAGCTTCAGAGTGGGTAACGGTGCAAAAACGGCCTAAAGTAAATGTCCACTAGAAGAGATATATAAAAATGTTTTAAATATATATACATAAAAATCTGTACAAAAAATACATTCTCTGTATATAAAATAACATACAGAAGAGGTCGCTCTGTTTGGTTGTAACTTAAACCTTTTTACTGAAACACGGGTGAGGAAGGCTTCAGAACATTACCACTTCTGTTGTTTCTTTGCAGTCAGCGTTGTAGCCTAGGTCTGCAGACAGAGGAGTGGTCGTCATGTCCCATTCCACTGCACTGGGACTGCCTTTCAGTGGTCGGGACAGACAACCACTCGCCTTAGTTACCTCACCTAGGCAATTCGCTGTCGTTCTCACAGCATACACCTACAGGTCCTGGTAAACTCGCCTGGGGATTTTGGGTGCCTCAGTGGGAGAACAACACCCAGGCTGACCGGTATTTTCAAGTATAAATTTCACCACCCTTCCAGCCTCCGTCTGTCCTTGTGTACTTACTCTGGTGTTACACCACGCGGTGATGCATTCCCAGCAGAAGAGGTGGCCACAAGGTGTGGCTGTTGTATGCCTCCGTTCTTCCAAACACAGAGTGCAGCGGGAGTGGCGCCCAGTAGGTTTTTCCTTGGTCAACTCTCTAGTTAACATAGTTACATATTAATTAATTTTATTTAGCCTCCTTCTGAGAAATACTTGACAACACAATCCTAAAGTAAACCCCAAGTAAACTTGAAAACCTTCAAGTATTAGTTAACTCTTTCTGTGACGGTCTCAAAAACATGAAAGTATGAAATCCTAAGAGACTTCAGCAAGGAATGCATCAGAGGTTAAATTGCATCAGGTTCTAGCTTAAGCCAAAGTCAGAACACTCCAGTGTTCTCCCTGTTCATGAAAGCTATTACATTCCCCACCACCGCTTCCGCCTCTTTCCCAGAGAGTAAAAAACGCCGTACTTCTGATGAGCAAGGCTGCGGTGCAGTTTCCATTCCTGCCTTGCTCGCTGCTGCTGTCTGAGGCTGTACAGCTGAACCCCGAGTGTGAGAAGAAGGTGGAAGAGCGAAATTATCCCGAGAAACTTATAACTTGATCGAATACTCTGATCTTCTTGCAGTCCTCCAAAACGCAGCTACACAGCTCACAGAAAGAAGAGATGTTTTGTTACTGCGGCTTTAGGAACCTACACCCCACCCTGCCCAAATCAATGAGGTGTTGACTGGGATATGCATTTCTGTCCAAGAACCGTGAGGGTTAGGACTTATCAACCTGCTGTCTGTCTCCTGGACGCAGCTCGCTCAGTCAGGCTACACTTAGCGGCTGTTTGGGCAAGGATCAGCCATCCTGGGTTGTCTGTCTGTCCATCAAAACTGCGGAATTAGTGGGATTGGGTTTGTTATGTCGCTCTGAGCAAACAGTCAAACGCCTCTTTTCCATGTTGGGAACTGTTGAGGAGTCTCATGTGTGCGCACGTTTCTGGGCCAGCGGCTGGTGTGTTTGGGAAATGCACGTACTGAAAAGACCATGTGACATTAAGCTCTTCATTCAGAAAAATGCTATCTGAACGTGCACTGATTTTTGTTCAAAACTACGTTTAAACATTTCTCATGAATTTATGAGGCCATTTTGCACTTTCTTGGTGTTTGTAAAAGACAGACTGGTCTAGACAATGTTCTGAAGTTACACAGGGTATTAACTTTGACAGTGCCTTCACATTTATTAGCCCCAACCTTGGACTGCAGGGACCTGTCACCCCTCTAGGCCGTATTAAAGATTCCCCTCTCACCCAGTCTGCTCTGATGCACTATAATCGGCTACAACCAAGTTCTATATCCCTTTTACACACATGGCATCCCAAAAGAGGCCAAAACATTGCAGTGCACACCATCTTCAAACAAGAAATACGCTTGACACCACTTACATACGTGATTCCTGTGATTCTTTTAGACAGGTGGTAAAAAGTGCCGCTGATGTAGAACGCTGCCAGATGCAGCCGATGAAGCAAAGGTACGCATTGCTTAAGAACATACACAATCTGCAAGCCTGTTCTCTTCTGCCGTTCCGTAAGCGCCGCAACTCGTTTCTGTATCCAGTTTTGTACCAAGGTCCTGCTGGATAAGCCAAGCGCCGGGCTGCTCTGCGAGGCTCTGGACTCAGCTTCTCTCTGCAGCTCGTGTTCCAGGTGCAGCAACCCCTTTTCTAAGCAATAGGGTACTACAGTATGAAGAGACACGAAGAGGGCCCGTCGAAGCAAGGAAGGAACCCTTTTCTTGGTTGAGTCAACTTGAATGATGTTCACGTACTCTTCACCCAGCGTCTGATAACCTGGATAATGCGTGTAAACAGAGAACGTGCAGCCTGAGATGGCCATTGCAATGTCGTCCTCGGTTTGGCTGAGCAGTCTCCATCTCCACTGGCTCAAAGCAGGGATACTTTTTCATCGTGTCATGCATCCCGTTTCAAAACGACCTTTTGCCTTTAAAAGAACTGTATCTGGATTGATAAACTGCTGCATTTGAACCCAAACTTTGGACAACTGAGTGGTTTCATGTGTAATAAAAGGCATTTATAGAAAGACAACGCAAAACCAAACCCCCCACGTGAGAGAAAACCGCTGTCGAGCGGCCTGGTGCAGCTGGTGCCCCGGGCAGGCCGCTCGCTTCTCACGCCCCTGGAGAAACGCGAGCAGGAAGCGACGGGGCCGGTACCTGACAAGGTGGTAAGGACGAAGTAGGCCACGTCAGAAAGCAGCTCGATCTCCTTCCTCCACTCCAGCCACCTCCTGGCACCTGAGGGATGGGGATCACGGCAGTGACCTGGCGTGAAACTCATACGCACCGCAGCCCTCCCGCCGGAATTCCTCCCAGGCATCCACCGCCGGACGGCCACCCCCT